CTCACACCTGCTGAGCTGCAGTGGGGCTGCCAGCTGTGAGCTGCAGAGCGATATGGCTGCTGGCCATATAACCAATCAGCCACCATGCTGCCGGCACACATAGATCACTAATATATAGTACCAGTCAAAGGTTGAGTAAACATGTTTGAAACCAGGTTTGTCATGATTATCTGTGCTATAAACTGTATAAACGTCTCTACACTTGTTATACACATTTCTGACTGTCAACTAACCCGGGCTTCAGCCTGAAATCCGCTTGCTTTGGGTGTTGCAGTTCACTTAAGAGGATAAGTTGGCCCTATACAAGTTCTTGTGTTAGGAATTTGTCTTTTCCCAGACCCCAGCTTGCTCTCCATGAGACACAGAGAGAGAAGCTGGGGGTCAGAGCGCAGGGTCAGCCATTGTACAGCACTCCTGGAGCAGCTGGGGTTGAGGGCCTCGCTCAGGGGCCCAGCGGAGTAGGATTCCTCTGCTAGCTGCGGGATTTGAACTGGCAAGCCTTCCAGCCACAGGCACAGGCACAGCTCCTTGGCACAGAGCCACTGCTCTGGGGTGTAATATTTAATTACACATATCATGTGTAATTAAATATTAAGTGTTGATAGACGTGTTTATACAGATCAAGGCAGAGATAATCATGAAATACCTGGTTTCCAGGAGGTGTGCTCAAACCTTTGACTGGTGCTGCAATTCATTAATAGCAACAGAGGTGGGATGATTTCCTGAGGCCACAAGACCTAGACACGGAGATGTCACATTCGTACGCTGTCCCGATCTCCACGGGGGTCCTTCCTGCTCCCGCTGATGGGGCCCCCCATGCCGGTCGCCCCTCCTTACCTCCTTACCTCCGGTCGCCACCTTTTGGAAACGGGACTGAGCTCGTGTGGAATCTGAGCGCGGCGGGAAATGTATCCCTATTGCAATTACTAACCCCGGGTTTCCCGACCGGAGCAGTGGCGTGAGGTGAGCAGGAAGACAATCATCCTTGTGTCTCGCAGCTGACTGACAGTTCCAGGGGGTGGGCACATTGGCAGGAGAAGGTCAGGGGTCAGAGGAGTATCAGATACGGGCTGTATGCGGTGGGCCTTGCCTTATCACACGTCACCCACC